GGGCCTTGCGCGGACCTCGGCCCTCACGAGACCCACACCCCGCTGGTCGGGGCCCCGATCTGTCGTCCAGCCGCCCGTCGATCCGTCTATGTGCCGTCCGGCCGCCCGTCGATGCGCCGAGCCGTCGGTCCAGCAGATGGCCAATCCAGCCGAGCCGTCGATCGCCCGGCCCAGCCGTCCGCTGTCTGGGGTCGACCACACGCAAGAGTGACCCTTCGCCGGAGTGACCTCTGGCGCGGGCCCACTGGGGCACCTCGATCTCCGAACGCGAGGCGGCAGCGGCGTCTTGCGCGCTTGCGTGTTTGCCCCCCCCCCCCCCCGCGGCCCCCCAAAAGCCGCGCACCAAGGGTCACTCTTACCCAGGGCCACTCCTGCGTGCAGCCGATGGGGGTTCTCGGTGCAGGGCCCCCGGGGTTCCGGGCCCGCTCCTCGGGGCTGGGCCGGCCTCGCAGCCGAGCAAGCTGCAGGGGCCGCCCGCGCGCGCTCGGCGTGCGGCTCCGTGGGGGAGCTCGCTCGCCGTTTCCCTCTTCTTGAAGCCGGCCTCACAGGGGAAGGGAGGCTGGTGCCCCCATTCAGGGCACGGGCAGCGGTCCCACGTCGGCGTCTTGCCTGCCTGCCTCCTGGAGGAGGAAGCTCGGGCCCCCTCGAGCCCGGAACAACAAGCACGGCGGGCCTTTTCCACGATTTTCGGCCTCCAGCGGCTCTTACACCGGGCCTCGGGGCCGTCAGCCATGGGCTCAGAATGAGAAGCCGGTCCCGGGGAAATGGCCTCAAGTATATGCAACGTCAGAAGGAGGAGGAGGAGCAGCAGGAGGAGGAGGAGGAGGAGGAGGAGGAGGAGGAGGAGGAGGAGGAGGAGGAGGAGGAGTAGCAGGAGGAGGAGGAGGAGGAGGAGGAGGAGGAGGAGGAGGAGGAGGAGGAGGAGGAGGAGGAGGAGGAGGAGGAGGAGGAGGAGGAGGAGGAGGAGGCGGAGGAGGAGAAGGGGGAGGAAAGATGAGGAGGAGGAGGAGGAGGAGGAGGAGGAGGAGGAGGAGGAGGAGGAGGAGGAGGAGGATCTCTCCCACCTCTTCCCCCACTTCCCGTGCAGAAAGGTGGCCGAGGCCCGGTGGGTCGACGCTACGAACAGAAATCATGACGTCGTGGGTCTAGGGTCTAGGGGGGGGAGGATCGGCGCGCGCGCGGGCGCCACGCTGGCGGAGGCAGTGCGGCGCCTCGATCGTGCAGGCCGACTAGCTGGCTAGGGCCTAGGGGCGGTGCAGGTGCAGATCGGCGGCGAGCGAGAGAGGGGAAGCTTCGGGGGGTCGAGGTTCGAGGTTTTCGGACGTGCTCGTCGGTTCTCGGCGGTTCTCCGGCCTCGGGACGCTTGCCGGCAGCTGCGCGCTTCCTTCCGGAGGTGTTGCCGGATCGTCGCGGACGGCCGCTGGAGATCCGAGCTGCGACCCGAAGACCAGGCCCTCCTCGCTCGGCGGCGCGCCTGCGGCAGGGCTTCTCAGAGCCCCGAATCATCAGGGGTAACTCGGGTCAGGGCTAACTCGGGTTCCTTGTTCGGGATTCCGAGCCCGAGTTACCCCGGACCCGAGTTACCCCAGATAATTCGGGCTTCCAGAGCCCCGAATCATCAGGGGCAACTCGGGTCAGGGCTAACTCGGGTTCCTTTTTCGGGATTCCGAGCCCGAGTTACCTCGGACCCGAGTTACCCCAGATAATGCGGGCTTCTCAGAGCCCCGAATCCTCAGGGGTAACTCGGGTCAGGGCTAACTCGGGTTCCTTTTTCGGGATTCCGAGCCCGAGTTACCCCGGACCCGAGTTACCCCAGATAATTCGGGCGTCCAGAGCCCCGAATCATCAGGGGCAACTCGGGTCAGGGCTAACTCGGGTTCCTTTTTCGGGATTCCGAGCCCGAGTTCCCCCGGACCCGAGTTACCCCCGATAATGCGGGCGTCCAGAGCCCCGAATCATCAGGGGTAACTCGGGTCAGGGCTAACTCGGGTGCCTTTTTCGGGATTCCGAACCCGAGTTACCCCGGACCCGAGTTACCCCAGATAATTCGGGCGTCCAGAGCCCCGAATCATCAGGGGTAACTCGGGTCAGGGCTAACTCGGGTTCCTGTTTCGTGATTCCGAGCCCGAGTTACCCCGGACCCGAGCTACCCCAGATATAATTCGGGCGTCCAGAGCCCCGAATCATCAGGGGTAACTCGGGTCAGGGCTAACTCGGGTTCCTTGTTCGGGACTCCGAACCCGAGTTACCCCGGACCCGAGTTACCCCATATTAACTCGGGCGTCCAGAGCCCCGAATCCTCAGGGGCAACTCGGGTCAGGGCTAACTCGGGTTCCTGTTTCGTGATTCCGAACCCGAGTTACCCCGGACCCGAGTTACCCCGGATAACTCGGGCGCCCAAGCTTCTCGGAAGGCCCCTGAGAGGTCTTCCCTGTCTTCGGGGAGGGCTCATAGAACACCTCTCGGAGGGCCGAGGGACTTCCGAACCTGATATGAGAAGGTCTTTTCCTTCGCACTTCCCCCCCCCCTCGCCTTGGCATCGCTCGGACGCGCGCATCTCTTCGGCGATCACCATCGAGGAGCATCCTGCATCATCGAGCGAAGTAAACACGCGCACGAGACCGAAACGTGCAAGGGGAGCGGACGTCCGAGCGACGGCCGGTCGCTCGCCGCCGAGGAGGAGCCCCGTCGATAGGGATGCCGCGTGGGCGCGAGAATGGTTTTGTAATCCACCGCCCGCCCGGAAGAAGGCCGCGCCGCGCGCCACCAGGGCGGCGGCAGCCGGCGCCGGCGCGAGCTCGGCCGCGTCCGGGGGGGACACCCTCGCGGGCACTGCCAGGCCAGTGTCATCTTTCCTGCTGCTGCTCGTGCTGCTGCTGCTGCTGCTGCTTCTGCTGTTGCTGCTGCTGCTGCTGCTGGTTTCGGGGAAGCGTCAAGACTCGAGTAATTGCGCCGGGACTCGGGTCTGACGAGCGCGTCCTGGATTTTGACGGCGCAGTTTTCGTGGGATGCTTGCAGCGGGGGGCTCGCGTCAAATTTTTGACGCTTCGCGCATCCCCACCAGCCCATCCAGAAACGATACCCAGAGGAATTGCCTCGATCAGGGAAGTGGGCAGCACACAGAGGAAACCATTATGAGACATCTTGGGATATCTGGAGCCATCTTGGAGGTCATCTTGGGCTCTCCCAGGCGCTCTCGGAGTCATCTTAATCAGTGCCCCCCCCCCCAAGAGGCCAACATGTGGCTAAAACCATCGTAAAGTCAATGATTTGGTATTCTCGCCGATGCCTCTTGGAACATCTTGGGTGCCTCTGGGGGGTCTCTTGGGGTCTCTTGGGGGTCTCTTGGGAGCCTCTTGGGGGCATCCTGGGGGCCTCTTGGGGCTTCGTGGCCACCTCTTGGGGCCCTCTTGGGGCCCCCTTTGGAGCCTTGGGGCCATCTTTGGGCCACCTTGGGCGAGATCGATCACAGGAGGGAGGGGGACTAATTACAGCGTCCCCCTCAGAAGGCCCAAATGGGGCCAAAACCCTAGTACAACCAATTATTTTGGCTTCCTCGCCGAGGCCGTTTTGGACGCTCCGACGACTCGCGGAACCCCCCGTCCAGGTCCAGGGGAGGGGGTAGGGGGAGGGGTAAACCCTTCCCCGAAGGGGAAGAAGGAGGGGTGGAAGAGGAAACGCTCTAAACCACAGACGCCCACAGGGCTGGTGGGATTTCAGACAGGGTATCATCCTTTTCATAATGCTCTTGTTATGCCAGCCCGCGTCCCCTGTACCCGAGTCTCACGTCTCCCCGACTGTTCCTCCTCCTACTCCTACTCCTCGTTGCCCTCCTCCGCCTCCCTGTCGCGCCCCCGAGCATGTCTGCAGGGCGGGCTGGGCGTTTCACGGGAGACCGCCCGAAATTTGCAACAGTTTTCTTGGCTTCAAAATGTGGATCTCTTCTTAGCTCCGTGCACCTTTGTCTTCAACGATTGCGACAGATTCAAGGATGGAAAACGGTTCCTTTTTATAATGCGGCTCTCCAGCGGTTTCAAGATTTCCCAGGGTTGATGTCCTAGGGGTGGCGTTCTGGCATGATCTAGGATCGCCAGGGCGCAGCATTCACGCTGGTTCGCGGTATGCGAGTCCCAGCAAAGGTATTCTGGTACGGCTCAGTATTGCCAGGACGTCAAATCCCAGGAATGGCGTAGATTCTCACACGATTGTCTTTCACCGGGACATTTCCCTCAGTTCAGAGACATTCTTGCAGAAGCTTATGAAGAGTAAAGTTGGAGGCAGGGTTCATTGTAACATCGTGGATGCGCCTTGAGTGTACACTGGTCTTCATCCTCCATCTTCTAATATTCCTCCTCTTCCTCCTTCCCCTCGATCTGCTCTGTCCCTCACACTCATGCCTTCTCCTCCTCCTTCCCCTCCTCCTCCTCCTCCTCCTCCTTCTCCTCCTCCTCCTCCTCCTCCTCCTCCTCCTCCTCCTCCATCCGTAGCCATTTTTGGCTCAGGGCTTTCCCCCGGGACGCTCGGACATACGGCTTTCTGATACTCATTTTGTATCGCAGGCGGGCCCAGGATGGAGGCCATCCTCGCTCGTCTGCCTGAGTTGCCAGTGGCGCAGGCGGCGCTTGGCGCTGCCTTGGCGGCGCTGGTGGACGCAGGGGGCGCCAAAGCGGTGGCGACAGCGGTTGCTGCTGCGGCACGTGGAGTTGCCCAAGGTGCCGCTCAATGTGCAGATGGTGCTGTTCCCAATGCGGCTCCGACGCAGGTTTCTCGTGGACCTCGAGAACGTCTTACGCACGATTGGCTCGGAGGCGGGTCTCGCGGGGGAGCCTACCATTACCAAGGCCAAGAGCGAGCTCGGACCTCGTGGCAAGGCTCTGGCCAGCAAGATGGGGAGGCTGAGCAAGGCCCGCAACTCGGAAGCCCATCCTGAGACAGCCCTCGTGAACGACATTCGCGCTGCTTTCGAGGAGGTCGCGGACGCGAACATTGAGAAGCCTTAGTTGAAGTTGAAAGGCGATATTTGCCGTGCTTCGCCAGCCGATTCGATTGCAGACGAGTCCAAGGCGGGCGAGTAGGCCGCCTCGGCTGGTGGCCAAGAGGCAAGGCCTGACAAGATGTATGGCCTCGTACACTGCTGCTTCGCCATCCGCCACACCCTACACCGGAGAAAATGACGGACCAGTTCGAGAACGGCGACAAGGAGAATATCGAGAAGGCTGTGCAGGACACCCTCTGCTGAATGGACCAGCCCAATCTCTCCGACGATGGGGAGTGCCAGAGCAAGCGACGCGAGCTTGTAGGCATCGTCAACCCCATCTTGATGAAGGCAGTGGAGAGTTACTGCTACAACATGCGCAATACCCTGCAGGACCTGACGCTGCAGGACACGTTTGAGTCTAGCGACTTGAACACCACTTGGAAGGCGGTGCAAGACACCCTGCATTGGATTCGCTTGCCCGTGGCCGCTGACGTGGTCGCACTCGCGGGCAAGCACAAGGAGCTGGAGGGCATCGCCAACTCCATTTTTGACAAGGTACGGAAGGCGCAGAGCAAGCTGAAGGAGTTGGAAGGCATCGTCGACCCTGTGCCGAACCATGTGCCCCAGACCCCTGGCTGCGCCGACAATTCGGCCAATGTGGCCATGGTGCAGGCTGGTGCTGCGTCCGACCCCGATGTGGACGAGAGGCGCGAGTGCATAAACATCATCTGCAACAGCTGGATTGGACCCCGTAGTGAGGCGGGGCGAGCCACGCTGCTCGCCTATGGCATCCATGGGTTGCGGAACATTGCTCACGCGGCCCGGAACAAGCCGTTCCGGGTCCCGTGGTGCACGTTCCTGGCTGCCGGGTTCGCCTCGGAATGCTGCGTGGCCCGCCTGGGCCCCTTTGGGGCCCTGGCTTGCCGTCGGCCCCGCGGGGGTGGGGCGTCCCCGCGGGGGTGGGGCGTGCACCGTCCGTAGCCCCGTGGGGTTGCGGAAGGGGCGCGCTCCTGTCGGTGCCCCGTCTTGGGCCCTCGTCGTCGCGTGCGGGGCCGCGGGGCCGCCGACGCTGGGCGCGTCGACACGCTTCCTTGATTCCCCGCCTGTGGTCAGGCTCCATACAGTCGGGGCCCTGAAGAAAGAACCCTTTCGTTGGGGAGGGGCTCCGCGTTCCTTAAGTGTTTCACAGCTTGCCTCAGGCTTTCCTTATGTTTTCGATGGGAGATCGAAGGTTAACTTATGGAGAAAAAGGGGCCTCGTTCCTGACTTAGGGTTCCTTAGGTCAAGGCCCCGAGTGTATCTTATGCTCTGCAGTACCCGTCTGGGGCCCTGCGTCGTTCGAGCTGGGGGGTCGGCATCTCTGCCCACCAACGGCCGCAGCTATCGGCTCGACTGCTGCTGCGCCACCGGTTCCCCTCCTCCTCCACCTCCTCCGTCGCTTCCCCGTCGTCCTCATCCCCTCCTCCTCTCCCTCTTGCCTCCTCCCCTCCTCATCCTCGTCCTCCTCCTCCCCCTCCTCCTCCTCCTCCTCTTCGTCCTCCTCCTCCTCCTCCTCCTCATCCTCCTCCCTCCGCCTCTCCTCCTGCTCCCCTCCTTTTTTTCCTCCCCGTCGTTATCCTGCCCTCCTCCTCTCCCTCTCGCCTCCGCGTCCTGCTCGCCTCCTTTTCCTCCGCATCCTCCTCCCTCCTCTCCTCCTCCACCCTTTCCTCCTCCTCTTCCTCCTCCTCCTCCTCCTCCTCCTCCTCCCCCATCTCCTCTTGCATTCCTTTTCCTTGTAGATAACTTTTCCCTGTCGCACCCCGATGCTAGTTTTTTGGGCGGGCCGGGCGTTTCGCTCGAGATGTTCTCACCGCTTGTGACCCTGAAGTTTCAGACTGGCAACAGCTTCACCGACGGAGGGCGGGCGGTTTTCAAACTGTGGCTCTCGCCTTGGCGCCGCGCGCATTCGTTTTTATTGTAAAAAAACATTTGCAAGAGCTTTACAGATGAAGGGCGGCTGGTTTTCAAAAGCTGTGTTTTGCTTCAGCGCCGCGTGCATTCGTCTAAAGAACTGCAATAGCTACACGGATGAAGGTCGGACCGTTTTCTTCAACATGTGGTTCTCGCCTTAGCGCCGCGTGCATTCGTCGTAAGAGTTGCAATGGTTTCACGGACTGAGGGCGGCTCTTTGTCAACATGTGGTTCTCGCTTTAGCGCCGCGCACATTCGTTTCTAAATGTTGCAAAGGGTGTCACGGATTCCTATGATCAGCGTACCAGAAATCTTGTTCCGGAAGGATTTAGGGTTATGAGGGCGCAACAGTTATATTGCTTTGCGGTGTTGAAGTGGCTGGAATGGCGTTCTGGCACGATTGAGGATCGTCAAGACGCGACAGTCAGGTTGATCCGTGGCGTTGGAGTTCCGAAAACAATGTTTTGGTATGCTCCAGCGTATTCAAACGGTTGTCTTCCAGCTGGGCAGTTCCCTCAGTAGAAATGAACACTTGTAGGGGCATGTGCAGAGGGAGCTTGGAAGGAAGGTTTATTCCAACATCGTTGATGGCTCTTGGGTTTACACTGGTCCTCCTCCTCCTCCTTCTCACTCATCTTCCTTCTCCTCCTCTTTCTCCTCTTCCTCCTCTTCCTTGTTCCTCCTCCTCCTCCTCCTCCTCCTCTCGTCTGGCCACAACCATGACGTACGATATGGCGTTGTGCATCAAGGACCCCTGTATCGGGAAGCCGCGGGGCCACCTCGCAGCGGCAGTGCGGGCTTTCGGATTCGAGTGCTGGCTCATGGCGTGCGCCCTTCTGGTCGCGGAGGCAGTCGGCTGCGCAGTGCTCTAGGCGGCTTGCGCCTGCCGTGCCCTTGTCGCAAGTCTCGCCTTCGGCATCCCAGCCCCGCCCCGCCCACGGCGCCCCACGGCCCACGGGACGTCACGCTCCTCAGCCGCAAGCCGAAGGCGCAGGGCATCTTTGGGCGAGCCCTCTCCTGCAGCCGCCTCTGACAATGCACGTGGGCGTCGCCTGCGGTCGTGATTCGAGAGCCTCTGGTGTGTTCGCTTCTGTGTATCTTCCGGTGTGCCCGCCCCGACTACACCATCCACTGTGCAAAGCGTCCCCCCGGCTTGGTCACCTCGTCTGTCGTTCTCGAGCCGTTGTCCCGTCGTGCCCCATCATTCGTTTCCGCATCGCCCCCCCCCGCCCACTACTTTGCCTCCGGCCTCGCGCGAACAAGCGTGATCTCGGCCACCACATATAGCTTCTGCATGTACTGCTGTACAGCCGATGGAGTGGTGAAAGTCGCCGAGGCTAGAATGTCAAACGACTGCTCAGTGCTCTTTCCTCCGCCGCATGCGGCACGGCCATACATCGGCTGCGAGCGAGGGGGGGGAGTGGGAAGGAGGAAGCCTTCTCAGAAGGCGGCGGGGCTTCTCGGAAGCCCTCGCGCCTTCTGAGAAGTTTTCTGTGTCTTCGGGGAAGGCTTCGAGCACTTCTCAGAGGAACGGGGACTTCCAACTCTGCTGAGAAGGCCTTCTCCTTCTCATTCCCCCCGGGCTCGCCGCCGACTACATGTGGCCGAATGCATCACGGTGTTGGGAACCATGACGCGTCGAACTCACTGGTACTTACGCTCATCCTCCTCCTCTTCCTCCTCCTCTTCCTCCTCCTCTGCCGCGCTCCCCTCCTGCCGCCCCGTCCCCCGCCTCGTCCCTTCACTACTCCTGTTTCTCTCCTCTTCCTTGTCGTTGTGTCGCCTTGCCCCGCCTCCTGGTCCTTCCTCGTCCTCGTAGTCGATCCCCGTCTTTCTCCCCCACGAGGAACCAGGGGGGAGGAGGAGGACGAGGACGAGGAGGAGACCGACGAAAGACGAGAAGGAATAGGCGGAGGAGGGTGAGAAGGACGTCGGTGACGGCACCGATTATTGGCCTGGTGGTAGTGGCGAGGGTATCTCTGGCCAGGAGGTCCTGCCGTTAACCCCTTCTTGATTAGATGTACATAGCGCGCCAAAGGACGGTGTACAGGTGGCAATTCGATCTTTCGCGGCCTGCTAATGTAGAAAAGAGAGAACCGAGGAGAGAGAGCAGCAGAGGGAGAAGGATGAGGGATCAGGTGGGGGGAGTAGGCGTAGGGGAAGATGGGGGAGAAGGCATAGGAATAATGGTGGAAGGAATGATAGTTTGGATGCTGATGACCACACCGACGGTAAGGATATAGGTAATGATGTTGATGGTGGTGATGATGTTGATGTTGATGGTGATGGTGATGATTATGGCTATGATGGTGATGCTGGTGACGATGATGATGGTGGCGGTGCTGAAGATGGGGGTAGTGATGGTGATGATGGTGACGACGCTGATCCACGACCCCCTCGAGGGCGACCGCTGCTGTCCTTCAGGCCGCACTCGCAACGAACTCCGTGACTGGCCAAAGCAGCATCGCCAGCTCACCAGGGGCGGGAGCTCACCTGCTCACTGAGGAGGAGGAGGAGGAGGAGGAGGAGGAGGAGGAGGAGGAGGAGGAGGAGGAGGAGGAGGAGGAGGAGGAGGAGTCCTCGACACCAGGCCCTGCGATCGCGGGCCTGCCCCCTCAGCAGCTGCTTGCGCGGCCCTCGGGCGGCGGAGCGCGAGGCCGCACAGCCTCGGCCTCGGCGCGCCCTGCTCGCACGCACTGCGCGGCTGGGGCCACCCCGGCGGCCGCCCGCCGCCCTCCGTGGGGCCGAGGCCCCCTCGCAGGCCTGGCGGCCCGACGCTCTCCGCCTCGGCGGGGCTGGCGCGGCCTCGCGGCCGCGCCCTCGGCGACGTGGCCGGAGCCGGCGCAAAAGACGATGGAGGACACCAGCAAACCCGAGGACAAGAGCCTCGACGACAAGAAGCTCGAGGACAAGAAGGTCAAGCTGGACTCGCCCGGCGGGCCGTCCTGCGGGCCGTCCTGGTATCCGCCTCCGCGATCCTCATGGGTGGGATTTTCCAGGACACGCGCCGCCCCGCAATGGGGGGGAGGAGCAAGGGGCAGCTGCTTTCGACGTCGCACCAGCACTGCACAC